TCACACACACACACCCCCTCTCACACACACACCCCCTCACACACACACACACACACACACCCCTTCTCTCTCTCTCTCACACACACACCCCTTCTCACACATACACCCCTTCACACACACACACACACACACACCCCTTCTCTCTCTCTCTCACACACACACCCCTTCTCACACACACACACACCCTTTCTCTCTCTCACACACACACACACCCCCCTTCACACACACACACACACACACACACACACACACACCCCTTCTGGGCCCTGCACTGACAGCCCCGGCCTGCCGTCTGAGCGCGCCCGGCGCCAGCACCTTCGCCAGCGCCCCACACGCCCGGCCTGCGGGCACACGCCAGTCACGGGCACCTTAATGCAGCGCAGCCAGCCCCTAGGTGGCCAGCTCAGCCGACGGCCACGCCAGGCCCTTCTGGAGTCTGCAACCGCTCGCCCAGCTCGGCCTGGCCATGCGGCCTCTGGGCCGGGTCCTTGTACCGCGCCAAGGAGCCCGCCCAGTGGTCAAATCCACCTGCAGACGCGCTCTGGGCAAGCTCAAAAGCTTGTCCCTTTGGCCAGAAGCTGGTGGCTCGAGCGATGAACTAGCACAGGGCTGGGCAAGATGCGCCCGGGGGCCGGATTTGGCTGGCGGGCTACATCTGGCTGCTTTCTATTCATCTCCTGCTGCCCGGGCCACCGAATTTCCAGGTGGAGGCTCAAGCAGCAGGATCCTATTTAAATGGCTCCCGGTCACGGCGCTAGCCAAGCAGGGCTGGAGCTGTGAGGCCTTTAACTAGCCCCAGCAACCCTGGGTGGCTGCCATGCGTTAGCAGCAGGCCTGGAAGCGGTGAGCTCATTGCTGTGTTTGCAATTCTAACGCTCCGGCCTTAGACAGCTCTAGGGGGAGGCTGGTCCCCAGCCCCGCCCCTCCCACCTCAGGCCCCACCCCTTTGGAGGGGGTGGAGCCAGCCCATGCCCACCCCAAAATTTATGAAGGGCCCCCCACTGTGAAAATAATTGGCCACCTTTGGAACTGGTGGTAGCTGAGCTGACATAAGAACGAGGCCTGGGTCAGGGTTGTACTGGGGGTTAGTTCATTTTCCTGGGGCGGCAGGTCACCTCTTTCCAGCCGGGCTCACGGCGTGGCAGAGAGGGCCGTTCATAGCACCTCCGTCAAACCCGACTGCTTTTGCACGCGTGGGGAGGTGGATGAACCTGGGGGAATCGGCTCTGCCTAATATCTTCCGTAGAAGTGCTGTCGACACTATTGAACGGAAGCGCAGTGAGTGCACGGCTCTCCCACTAGCGCCTACGTTAAAAAAAAAAGGTATCAAAATATTTCCTGTCATGGCACCTGCATCCCCCACCTCCCATATCAGTATGGAGGCCTCTGGAGAAGCTGATGCCGCAGCAGCGGTGGAAGGGGAAGCACAAAGGCAATGGTGACGTGTGGTGTTCCTGTGAGGGGAAGGTAATGCCTCAGCCTGGCTAGCCCATGGCCAGTCATGCTGGCAAACAGGCCTGAGCCAGGGGGTGGTGTGAGACGTGGCTTTCCCTCCCGCCAAGGGCTGCCCACCGAGCCCACATGCTGAGGCGGCGGCAGCAGGGACCGCAGCCATCAGCCAACGTCCTAGAGTGGCAAGTTTGGATCTGGGGGGGAGGGTTCTGCAATATCCCCCCCTCCCTTACTGACATCCCACAAGCTTCCTGTGTCCCCAAGAGTCTCCCCGAACACCGTCTTCCGGGTGACTGCAAAGGGACCGGAGTGAAGTCTGAGATGCTCATATGCAGTGAGAAGCAGGCAGAGGAAGAATGGTCGTGTGGCTAAAACACAGGCCTGGGAGTCAGGAATCATCAGGTCCAGTCCCCTGTCCTCATGGCAGGACCAAGCACCGTCTAGATCATCCCTGGCAAGTGTCTGTCCAACCTGCTCTTCAGTATCTCCAGGGATGAAGATTCCACAACCGCCCTAGGCCACTTATCCCAGTGTTTAACCACCCCGACAGGCAGGAAGTTTTTCCTAATGTCCAACCTAAACCTCCCTTGCTGCAATGTACCTGTGGGTTTCATTCCCCCCTCTGCTCTGGTCCCCTGTGTGATGTCAGACAAGTGCGCTCTCCTCTTGTGCCTGCCTTCCCCAGCTCTATACTAGGGCTCTTACCATCTCTGGTTAGGTTGCAAGCATTAAGGGGCAGAAACAATCTCTCAGCCTGGTTTTTCCTATGCCTCATCCAGAACTGTCCCTGCTTCTCTCTATGCTGCTCCCACCTGGCCACCGATGGTGTTGCACTAAGCTAGCAGACAGGAGAGGAAGGCGCAGTGAAGAACTTAAGAACATCAGAAAGGCCACACTGAGTGAGACCAAAGGTCTATCCAGCCCAATGTCCTGTCTGCCAACAGTGGCCAATGCCAGATGCCACAGAGGGAGTGAACAGAACAAGGAAAACTCACGTGATCCCTCCCCTGTCATCCATTTCCAGACAGAGACTAGGGATATCATTCTTACCCATCCTGGCTAATAGATTCATGGAGGTTAGGTCCATCAATGGCTATCTAGCTCTTTTTTGAACCCTGTTAAAGTCCTAGTCTTGACAACATCCTCTGGCTAGGAGTTCCACAGGTTGACTGTGCGCTGCATGAAGAAAAATTTCCCTTTGTTTGTTTTAAACCTGCTGCCTATTAATTTCATTTGGTGACCCTTAGTTCTTATATTATAATGCAGTGCTGTCTTCAGCTTATGGGCTACTAACTACTTCTCTGTTTCCTTTGTTTTGATAGAACAGAAGAGGAAGGGCAGGTGATAACTCTTTGGAATTAAACTTATGGGCTACTAACCACTTCTTTGTTTCCTTCGTTTTGATAGAAGAGGCAGGGCAGGTGATAACTCTTTGGAATTAAGTACATCACGCTTATCTGGCAGGTGATGTTTAATACGAAGACTGGCAAAGTGGAAACTCCTTGTAGAAGACTATAACTTCCAGTTATACCATGGATCTCAGTGACCACAGGATCAAGCTTTTCATCTCTCAGAGCCTCACCTTCGTAATCTGCATCTTTTCTCCTGCCCTACATCAGCCTTGTGTGTTGAGCCAGCAAGCTCCTCAGAGTCTAGCTGTTATTGTGCTCAGTCACTGTACAATAACCCAGCTAGAGTCCGTCTTTGAGGCCTTAGCGCAGTGCTGTGATGTAAGTGAGAATAATAAATGCTTTGCTATAAGATAAGCAAAAGCCATCTGAAATCTGTATGGGAGGCATTTCAATGCAGCGAGGGAAGAGTTTCACGATCAAAGTTCATGAACCGTAGATTTCCATGGGCTATTCTGTCATTTTCCGCTGCTCTGCATTGAGAGGCGCTTCTGGCTTCCGCCGTAAACACAGTCATCTTGGTCCGCTGAGCAGCAGGAAGCAGATAAATAAAGTCACAACCAGGGACGCTAGTCACAGACAGGAAGTAACTTTAATTAAATATTGTGAAAGTTGAAAAGTTTTTACAGCTTGAATTTCTGCAAAAAAATTATAACAATCTCTACAGTAGTTAGTTTCTCTAACAATAGAACTGTACAGTGTGTGTGTCTATTCAAAAAGATTTAGATAAGAAGGTGAAAGGTTAGTAGTTTCAGAGATGACTTCATTTTAGCTGCATCCTAGTACAATTGTGAGGAAATAGGCATACTTTATGCAATCCAGTCATTGTGTCGCTTCACCTTTTGAAACTGAAATCGGAACGGTTCCACTTAAAGCCATATTCTGTAAGGAGTGGCATCTGTTACTTTCTAAGATGGGGGGGCGTGTTTTGAAAGGAGATTTTGATGAATTTCCTTTCATCCAATCACTATAAATAGTTGCAACAAAACTCATTATTCAAGGATCTTTGGACTTTGAAGAAAAGGGCTACAAATGTACACGGCTAACATGGATGTCTACATGGCTACAACGCAGAATGGAGTTCTACCAGACCAATCGAGGGTGTTACTGGACAAAATATGGCTTTAAATTTGATTACATTGGCGTGCAGTTGCTTATCACGTGAATTAGAAGAATTGTCTGAGTACAGAGAAGCAATACTTTGATGTCTCTCGCATTTTCCAGTTGTATTTTTCCTTTTATTTGCTCAGCAGGACAAAAAGTTTCCTTTTTCTCCTCTTTCCCCCCTCCCCCCCTCCAAAAAAAGATCACACCGTGACTTTCTAGTGAAAACCATTGCAAAATTCATACAGGAAGCATGCACAGTTGCAGCATCGTTGGAAATGATTTCCTGCTCTACTAGAAAAAAGTTACATTGTCTTAAGGTAACAAAAACAGTTCTTTTGTGCTTTTCAATTCCTTTTTTTTCTTAGAATGTTAGTGATGATTGACAGTTCCAATGTACAAGTGAAATGAATATGATTTGCATTGTTAAGGCATCCAATCTGCTGGTTTATATTTATGTGAAAGACAGAGAAATATACAAGCAGACTTAAGAAAGAAAGTATTTGCAATGAGTCCTATGAAGTTTCTCCCCATATTTAATGCACAAAAATGCGTCACTCCAAAGAGGAGAGATCCCATGCATATTAATAGAGTAAAACAGCATTATTTTTTGTTAAGCCTCAAAAGCAAAGGATATTTTTTTAAATCTACATAACTAAATGCTACAAGAATAATATGCTACTTTTTGCCATATATTGGAAAAAAAAAAACTTCTTAACTTACAAATAATACAAAAATAGACAATGGCTTTTAGGTGGAAATAAAAAATGGAAGCATGGTTTAAAACAATCTTTAAAAAATCCCTATAAATGAAATGTTTTCAAATCACATTTAAACAGCTAATACAACAGTGAGTGACCAAACAAATCAGCACTTTTCACATAGCAAACATACACAATAAAATAAACTGGGGTTAGGGGGGTAAAAGCAATGTACAAATTCCAAAGATAAATACATTATTTATATGGATATTTTACAAAATCCCCTTTAAAACAAACAAACAAACAAACAAAACCCCAACAACAAAACAAAAAAAGCTTTTTTTTCCCTTTCATTAATTTTGCAAGTATGTGCAAGCTAAAGGTAGTGAGCTCTTTTTGCAAAATATGCAGTAATTTTTTTTTGTGACATTGAAAATTTGTCTTAAGACATTAAAATGTATAAATAGAACAACAACTTTGGCAAAAAAATCACAAAAAAATCTACAGTATTTATAACTACATACAAAACACAACAGCAAAGAAAAAATATCAGGTAATGCATCCTCAGAGTTTTGCTGTCTCTTTGACTAATCGTTTTAAGAACACTTCCCAGATAACGAGAGCAAAATTCCTGTAAAACAGAACCTGTGGGTTTGATTTCAAACCTTCCTCACTTCTCCTCCCCCTCCCGCCCACCTGCAAATTCAAATTCCTGTTTCCACTTACTATTCAAAAACAGTTACCTGTTGCTTAATATATTATGCTACAAACTGAGCAGGTCGGCTGATACAGCAACAATCCTAGCTGGAGGCTGACAAAAAACGTGTGTGCTTCTAGATCATTGAGCATGCAGAACTGCAGGTGAGCCAATTCTGCGCCTGTCCCATGGAAACAAATCGATTAAAGCGAGGAGGAAAAAATGTATGAGAACACCCAACATGTAATAATGGCTTGAGTCTGTGTCTTTCGACAGCGACACACGATCCAAAGGAGATGTGTATGCACAGCTCAGTTTATGCTAAATCGAGGGAGGCCACTTGATTGGAAGGTTCTGATATAAGCTAAATAGAGAGCCATGCTAGTCTAATTATGCAGTTTTAGCATTATATCCAGAGGCACTGGGTTTCAGAGTTAAAGACATTAGCTTACATGATTGATGTCCTTAGCTGTACTTTCACCAACTTTTCTCATCATATTATTTACACAGTTATTTAGTCTGATATTAAAAACAGAGGCTACAAAGTCTCTCCCTGTTTTAAAAGAACTGTTTAGTGAGTGGTATCTATTTAATTAGAGAATGAAAAATGTATTGGAATAGCAAACCATCCCTGGATAAGCAACACATACGAGCCGACTCTTAATTAAATGGCCATTATTCTTCTAAAAACACCAAACTGGCACTTCTGTTCTGTCCCTTACTGACTTGTTTGTAAATGTTGCCACTTCATTTCCCTTTACCCAGCTTTAGAAAAGGGTCATAAATTAAAAACATGACGTTTCATCGCTAGTGTCCCTTGCAGAAATATATGATTTATAAAAGACAAATGGCTGTTGAGTTAAATTGAGCTTTAAAAAAATAAAACAAACAAAAACTAAGAGAAAAAAAGTGGATTTTCTTATCAACACAGAATAAATATATCTCCCAAGTACTTGGGATGGACAACTCAAATCAACACCTTGCAATTGCAGATTCTTTGTTAATTTCAGTATCTGCCAGGGTGGTGATTTTTGTTTTGTTTAAAAATCTGCAGGTATTGTAAGATTCCTCTCTATTTTATTGTATTTTATTTTTTTTAAAAAGGCCTGAGTAAAAAGTTCCACTCTGGGACTTGTATCAGATTTCTCTCTGAAGCAGAATTCAACCTCTTCAATAAAATTCTTCAAGGCAATCCTTTCACATGGGAGGAACAATCATGCCAGATATAGCTGTTAAAGGGAGGGGAGACAAAGAAAAAAGAAAAAAAGTGACTTCTTTGCATCACATCTTCAATTCCACACCCCTCCCCCACCCCTCTACATTTACCAGTCATATACGGTCTGTATTGGGAGCTGAAATCATACACAAGTGTCAAACACACAATAGATGCATTACATACAAAAGGTCTGATTCTGGTCTCACTGACACTGGAGTAAATCAGGTCTGACTGCTGACATCAATGATATTTTTCTAGTGTAAATTCAGCATGGGATCTGATCTCAGGCTAAACCACTTTGGCTCCCTAGATGCAGAGTTCGCTGACTACATGCAAAGCTGAGTCCTAAACTGTGAGAATTTTCATATATTTTGTTAATCTCTTTAAAAAAACAGTTCTGGGCCCACACAAGGCACATGTGTCTACCATCTCTTATGTATTCTTTTCTTAGCCTGTTTTCCCAGGCTAGATCTGTGTGGTGTTCAAATCGTTGAAGAGCGGCTGGTCCAACCTGTCTCTCTGCATTTCCGGGCTGGGCTGAGGATACATTTCACTGGTTTGTGCAAGCGTTTGCAAGAGTAGGACAGTCTGGTCCGGTACAGACACCGGTCATGCTAAGCATGACGATACATGAGCGAAACATCCCATCCAAAGGCTGACTGGGGATCCAGGCCCATCACAACAGCAGTTTCAGCCTATGGGGAAATCAAAGCTTTCCATCCTATCACTTAACTAATAGGAACCAGCTGTGATGATGGATTGCCGCCAATGGGTTATTTTATTTCGTTGCCCCAGCTCTGCAGATGGGTCGGAGAAAACTAGCCAAGCAGGACTGGCAAAGTACGCCCTTACACTTCTTTCCCTGGTTCTCATGCATTGATTCAATTCACCTTTATCTAGTTAAAAACCTGTTGGATATTGACATTATTGAGGCTGGGGCATATGTAGCTAATGGCCCTCAGAGCAGCTTACATCCCCTACAGAAGAACGTTCCAAGCGACAGTTGCGATTAATCCTTAACCGGGGTTTGTTGGGTTGTTATTCGACTGTTGTAAGCCCAGCACCACGGCATCTTGTGGGCTACTACCGGGTGAATTAAGAGTAGAGCTTTGGCCTTAATTTAGAATTTTTGTCTCTCTTGTTTGTCTAGGTCAGAGGTGGGCAATCATTTTTGCAAGGGGCGCCACTTCATGAATTTTGCTACAGGGTCACGGGCCAGCTCCGCCCCGGAAGGAAGGGGTGGGGCTGAAAATCAGCCTCCCGCCAGAGTTGTGTGGGCCAGAGGCTTTGAATGAAAAACACAGCAAAAGGCTCGCAGCTCTGCCGCCTGCCGGGATAGCACCATGACCAGGAGCCATTTAAATAGGATCCCGTTGCCTGAGCCACTGCCTGGAAATTCAGTGGTAAGGGCTGCAGGATATTCATAAAAAGCAGCCAGATGCAGCGCATGGGCTGGATCTAAGTTTTAGGAGGGCTGAATCCAGCCCCCAGGCCGCATTTTGCCCAGGCCTGATGTATGTGAATATGTGGGTTTGGGGGTTAGCCTCACCACCAGCATTCCTTCTGCAGGGCTGGGGAAAACCTGCTCCCCAGGTTGACAACTGGGTATGGGGAACGTCATGGAGTTCATATGAGGATGAGTTGCACCTAAACATCAACAGAGGATGGACAATGACATTTACTCCCTTTGTGAAGCACTTCGAGATCTGGGCATGAAAGTCCTAATATACGTGCCCGTGGGTGGGAATTGAGGGGGGAAGGGAAGGGAAGGGAGTGTGAGCTGCTCTCGGCTCAGCTAAAGGCCAGGGTGAGAAGAGCTTCGGCGGAAGCCACAAGTTCTCTCCCTATGTAGGTGGGGGGAAGTTGAAGAGGGAGTGGGTGGCATCTTAACTCTGCTCCCCCCATACTCTGGACAGCATAACTACACGGCTGCAGAAGGGTACAGAATCTGTAGCGGGTGAAGGTCTAGTGCAAGTTCCTGCCTTCCCAGGAGCAAAGGAGGAAACCGGAGACAAAACTGCATCTCTCCAAGTCGGGTCTTCTCCTGGGGCAAGGCCACCTTGTGCAGCCGACGTGTAGGAACTCCGGGGGTAAGCTGTAGGCAAGTAATGACGACTCATCACCCTGGGACTGTTCCATTTCCCCACAGATAACTGCAGGAGATGCACCTGGTGCCAGTGGGAGTGAAATGATACAAAAGCGCAGCAGGTGAGTGGGATTTCAAGGCACCGCTATTCTTATTCTTCTTGGGGAGCACGGATAGTCTGAATTAAATTGCAGGTCAAATGGAGAAAGCGATATCTTTTCTGCCTATTCTGCCAGGACCTCGTTTAGATCCCACTCCTTTTGTTCCCCAAGTGCTCTGTCCACGAGGCCACGGAAATTCCCTCAGCTGCGTTGTGCCACTGATTCTGGAAGAGGAGCGCTCAGAGGGAACCAGTGTAGGTAGGAGATCAGATCTCCTCTAAAAGGAGAGAGAGGGGAAACAAAATTGTTTCTGCCCATCCCACGTTCATTGGGATCTGCTGTTAGAAAACGTGGTTTTGCGCAGCAGAGAGCACGACCGAGCGGCCTGGCTGCTATTAGTGACTTCGGCTGCTATCGGAGCTCCATAAACAAAACAAGATTGCTGGCTGGGGTAATCCGAAGCCCAAGCAAGATAAGCCAGCCTGCTCATACATGGCTGTTTATTTAAGCAATAAGACAACAGGCAGTGCATTTCCGAGTGATAACCGCCTACCTCGGGTGGCGTCACGAGGCCCCAGGCTAAAGCCGTGTGTCCTTAACTCACAAGGAAGTTCAGTGGTGTCTTAGGCCTATTATGCAACTCAATGGCTAAATAAAAAGCATGCCGACGGGTGTGTTTGCTGGCTGTGACCTAATGACTAGGCAATCAGCAATCCCCAACCGCGACCTGTGCTCTCAACCCATTCCATAATTGTTTTGCATAATGCACAACATGAACTCTGGAATTTCATGTGTGATGAAGTGGAAAACAATGATTTTAAAAAAACCCGCCTGCTGCTCGCTCTCTTTCCCCGCTCCAAAGCCGGGGGAGGAAGGGCCGGAAGAAATACAAATATACTCAAAAGCCAACCACCGGTTTCATATTTTTATTCACAAGGCTAAATAGTTTTCGTCAATGTGCTTGCAAACAAATGCTGTTGAAACCTGCAGCCTGTCGGATTCTTAAAAACGGTGCATTTTTGGTGAGCCAAGGTTTAGCTGTCAATTAAAAACCTGGCTGTGTTTTGTTTCTTATGCGTCAAATCAAGGGTTTGACTGACACCTCACAAAAAGCTACTAAGTCACATGTTCTAGCCTTCTCACAACTCATTTCAGCATAAGGATTTAAACCCCCAATTTTCCAATCTAAAGTACTCGGAATGCAATGCTTATCATTAGTCACAATTGATGCCAGGTTTTATGAATGAATTCCTTCCACGCCACATGCATTGTGATTTTATTTGGTGAATGATGCCATCTCAGCTCTGATTGTGAGGAAAAAAGAGGGCTGCACTGGACATGTAGATGTTTTAGGACATTACACCCATTTTGGACAGATCATTCTGAAGACAGTCTGATGCAAAAGCTGTGTAATGACTAAAGTGTTGATTTCTCTGCTCGGTTCAGGCACATGGAAAAGAAAATAGACCTCCGGTTTGGGCAAACTATAGTGTGAATCACAGAACCCTTCCACCTCCGGCATAGTCTGAGACACTTGGCGGCATCTGCTTATGAAAGCCCCTCGGTTTAAGTGACCATGAAAATGTGCATGTGTCAGCATGGTAAAGTGGTGAACAGGAATTATTAGGGAGGGATAAGTACCACATTGTACAGTAGGCCTCACAAACTCAGTACAGTAGGCCTCACCCAATAGTAGGCCTCACACCGTACAGTAGGCCTCACCCAATAGTAGGCCTCACACAGTACAGTAGGCCTCACCCAATAGTAGGCCTCACCCAATAGTAGGCCTCACACTGTACAGTAGGCCTCACCCAATAATAGGCCTCACACAGTACAGTAGGCCTCACCCAATAGTAGGCCTCACCAAACACCGAACAATGCAATAGGCCAGGGATGGGGAACCTAAGGCCCAGGGGCTGGATGTGGATCCCAGTTTGCCTCAATCCAGCCCCCATGACTCAGGTCTCCCCTCCAGCATTGGGGAGCCTGTGCTGGCACTCCAGCCCCCTCACTCCCCCTCCCCCCACACACAGCCCCACTGCAGGGCTGGAGCACACAAAATCTACCATCCTGGGTCCCCCTAAGCTCTGCTGGGTGAGGGGAAGGTGGGCAGTGTCTTTCTGCTTCTCAGTTGGGGGCCATGTCGGTGAGGGTTTGGTTTTTCTTTTTTGCTTCTCCCTTCTGTGTGGCTCCCGACTGATTTTTCTGTGGGTTAAGCACCCCCGACCCAAAAACGGTTCCCCACCCCTGCAATAGGAAGTTGTTTCCTGCCGCATCTCCAACCCTGACTGGAGTTCAACCTCCCTTTCCCTCAGCGTGCATGATTATGTACTTGGGTAACCATTTTAGTATATTTTTCAATGAGAGGAGCAGGGACATAAGCAGCTCATGTATTACCAATGGCCAAAGAGGCTTTCAAAGGGACACAGGACACAGCATTATTGCGGCGATTCATTGGCTTCCGTGCAGTCCATGAACCCCTAGGCACCATTGGTCCCGTTAGGTAGCAAGTTGGGAAATGCTGCTTTGAGTCAGGAATGTGCCTGGTATTTATGAAAGGCAAATACATGCACCAAGCTTTGCAGCTCTCTGTGCCACAAAGCCCTCCGGCTCTGGTGGAGTCGGGAGGATGTCTGCATAAGCGGATGGTGACAAAAGGGGGGGAGGGGGAAGGAAGGGAAGATTGAGTGACGTACTTCAGGAGAAGGCCAGTCCCTGGAGAGACCCTGCAGTGGAGTACTTGCTAGAGTCCACAAAAGACTGGTCTGATAATGGACGACCACAGGGAATAAGAGAGGAAAGAAAAAAAAAAGGACGGTATTAGTACGCAGAAACAGTTCTCGTTTTTAGCAAAATACTAGATTGGGGCGTTTAAAGCCACAGCATCTAAATTTAGCAGTATTAGTAGTGTTAGAGGAAGGATGTATTCCCAGTCACCAGCTAGGCACAGCGGGGAGGGGATAGATTCCAGTTACTCTTAATAGGAGTAAATTATAGGCCAGAGACCACAAAAGCCCCATGAAAGTCCATCCCATCCCTTCACTGACACCTAATTCAATGCCATGCTGGGCATAATGTTGCACCTCCGTCTCGCGGCTGCCCTCACCTACCTTGCAGGCTATTGCCGTTGGTGCTGGTGCAGGTGGGAGGAGGGGAAGTTTGCGGTCTCACGACAGGAGCAAACGCGCTCTTCTGTTTCACCGCGGAGACCATGTTGGCTGGTGAGAAGGAGAAAATCCCAGAGGAACTGCTACAGTTTGAGGGAAGGCTAGTGGAGGAAGCCATTGTTGGACTTGATGGCACAACTAGAGGGGAGAAAAAAAAGCCCAAAGCAAACATTTCTTACTATGAATTCCAAAGCCAGCACTGGAAAGAAAAGATTCCTGGGTCCAGGATGCACATGTCCTGATTTCAAAAAGCCCCGGGATCGTCCCCATCTCCCTTTGACTTCAGTTAGAGTCCCGCGTACTCGGTACATCTGAAAACCTGGCCCCTCGCGTGTGGCTGTCACCACTGAAAATCTCACAGGCTTTCCTGCCGACTGCTTGGCCATGAATTTTAGTAGGCAGCAGGTTTAAAACAAACAAAAGGAAGCATTTGTTTACACAGCGCACAGTCAACCTGTGGAACTCCTTGCCAGAGGATGTTGTGAAGGCCAAGACTATAACAGAATTAAAAAAAAAACTAGATAATTTCATGGAGGATAGGTCCATCAGTGGGCAGGGTGGGCAAGGATGGTGTCTCTAGCCTCTGTTTGTCAGGGACTGGAGATGGATCACTTGATGATTCCCTGTTCTATTCTATCCCCCTGGGGCACCTGGCATTGACCACTGTTGGAAGACTGGATGCTGGGCTAGAGGGACCTTTGGTTCTTATGTTCTCACTCATCATTCTTGTCAGTGTGATAGACAACCCCAGCATATTTCTTTATTGTTATTTGTAAGTAACTCCAATCAGTGCTAATGTGGGAGATTAAGCCCATTCCAGGGGAAGTACGGTGTTTTACATGCAGACTTGGATCAGGGGTCTCATTTGGAAAGGCCCTGCCTTTCCACTAGACTGGGATACACACATTTCAGGCAGCCTGTCTTTGCAACTAGCGAGGCCTGGAAGAGTCTGCGGTGGTCCATACAAGCCTGCCAATGGTGAGAGCTTGTGGACTCCAGCCAACCTATTGGACAAGGTTCAGCTGAGTGTAGCTTCTTTTTCATTCTTTCCCACTGGATGGGTGGGGGCTGAAAAGTGCTAACAAGAGGTTGGTGAGTTGATGGACCTATCCTCCATTATCTTATCCGGTGGTTTTTTTTAAATCCAGGTACACTTTTGGCCACCACAACATCCCGAGGCAATGAATGCCCTAGGTTAGTTGTATGAAAAAGCTGTTTGCATTAAACTTGCTGCCTATTCATTTCTGTGAGGTGACCCTGGGGTTTTCTGGGGAAGGGCGAATAGCATTTCTCCATTCACTTTGTCTGCACTACTCACGATTTTTACAAACCTCTATCCTATCCCCCCTTCAGCATCCCTTTTCTGAGCCGATGGGCCCTAATCGTTTCAGTCTCTCGTAGGGAAGGCAGTTCCATATCTTTGCACATCTTTGTTGCCTTTTTCTGGACCCTCCCCAGATCCACTCTATCCTGTCTGAGATGTTGTAGTAATTGCACAATGCAATTTTCTCCTGGTGGGCATCTACTCTGCAAAACCTGCCAGCCACATCTACCTTCTTTGCCTTCCCAATAGGCGGATTCCCCCTGGCCTGTCTTGAGATGGCCCCTGGGGGCTCTGATGATAGTTTCTCATTTATAAAGGCCGAAATCGAGCTGTTCTCTAGCTTCAAAGGGTCAATCGGTTTTGGGAAGCCTTCTTCTTTTAAGGACCTCGTTAGCCTCCTCTGAGGGCCATCGGCAGCAAACAGAGCATCACAAACACTATTCATATGTCTCATCTGGCCAGTGGGTGGGTGAGGGCAGCTTGGGAAGGTGGGATGGTTTAAGAGAAGTGTTGGATGAACAAATCATGCATTAGGTAATACTGAAATCAGGGACTTGTTATTATGACAGGCAAGACAAGGAAACCTCCTGGAGGCTCTCTGAGGTGGAGAATGCTACATTTCATTCAGAGTCATGGGCTAGAAGCTCAGGTGATGTAAATGCCTTCAAGTGAGCCAACTCTGATTTATAGCCATTCAACATCTTGTTCCATCACCAGTAGTAAATAGACATGTCGTTGGGGTTTATAAACAGGTTTAGAAGCTGAGGAAGGCTGCCCAGCTGCAGGGACAGGACTCAACCCCAAGCTCTGGAGACCAATGCCTTATCCCTTAGGCCGCAGGGACCCACCAGACCTTTCTACCTTCAGCTCATGCCAGCTCCAGTCCTGGAGATGCTCCAGTCTTGGAGGATTGTGGGTTCCACCAGCTTTTCATGTGTGTCTGAGTTCTAAAACACCTCCTGTTTAAACTGAAAAGTTGCCATAACGGAGGTTTGATTTTTCAATATCCGTGTACAGTACTTGGAATCCTGAGGGTTTACTGTAGAATGCAGTTAAAGTCTTTGGGTCATGGATTTATCATATAGGCTTTGAAGAGGTTTTTCATAAAAATACACCCAAACAATTCCAGATAATACAGCAGCTAGACTCTACCTTTGAACCAAAACAGAAAGGGAGCAGCTCCCAGTAAAATCCCATACTTTTATTGTTCATCTGCCTTTAAACTATTTATGGACATGAATGGTTTATGAATATTTAAATATTATAGGAAGAAAATTCAAATCAGCTGGGCTTTGGATTGTTATTTTATTTGCATATATGCAGATAAAAATCATGCCATCTGAGTCCCTGTATGAGAATCAGATATATTTGTGAAACACTGAGGAAATCAATTAATGGAAATTAAATGTTCAAAGTTTTACAATCTGACAGATACAATCTAGTCTGAAGTCACTTGCTGTCTGCAAGCACTTGTTAAGGAAGAACAATCAAAGCACCTAAATTGAATTGCTACTACATAGCAATTAGTTTATTGATTTAATTAAGAATGACACCTTTTAATTTTCAGGTCATGATTGAAACATTTTCTGATTGAATGGATTAGGTATTAACAGAATGGCAGACCTTCCACAGAAACCTCCCAAAAATAAAAACAGAATCAAGCAAACACTCAGGAGGGAGAAGTGAAGCATTACTCCAAAGGTGGCTTCATTCATAAGTATGAAACAATAAACAAGCTCCGAGTAAGAACAAACCCTAAATGAAGGCAATCTAACCCTGAGCAACAACACACAGAGTGAATTATGGCCTTGAGAGATAGCCTGGTGACAATTAATAATGGCTAAGAATGGTGTTAGCTTATTATGTGCAGAAGTGCCTGCAAAAATCATGCCAACAATTTCACAAGAAATACCACATCTTGCTAAAATGACAGGACTTTTCTTTTCTGAATCCGGTCCCTTATTGTTGGAACAACTTAGATTTCAGTTACAAATATCCTCCAACTCCTCCCCCCAAATAAATAAGCTCAGACTTGCTGCCACACATTTTGACAAAATCCAACAGACATGATGAAGTCTCTTATGTGATCTCCATTTTCAAGAATTAGCAGTGTGTAAGGTGGTGTGTTCTTATTTACAGCAAGCAAAGGACATTTTGAAACTGCTGTGGGAGATGTTATTTTTTCCCAACACTTCACGGTCTCCCAAGTACTAATAAAGAAGTAGAGCAGAACACTCATGGCCATGCTAATATTGTCCTAAAAGTCCTTCAAAAGGCCAGTGACTTCAGGAGGAAAGCTGAGCCCCCTAAATATTGAATCGCACAGAAAAGTCGCCCTTCCATTCTAATGTCAAAGTAGAACATGCAAAACTGCCATATACTACTCACTGGCATAGGGAGAATTGGCAGCAGATCCATTCAGGAAGGTGGGCGAACCACCAAGATTGGACATTCCCGCATTCCCGTAGCCGTTCATGCTCGTTGTGACGGAGTTGTAGTTTGTCTGCTGCGGGGTGGTGCTTGGCACGTACCCATGAGGGGACACGCTGCTTGAGTTGCGAGTAAAACCTTTTTGGGGTTTTGGAGAGGGGAAGAAGGTTAGAGAGACATATTTCTAAACATCATCCCCCCCCCCCACACACACACAAATCTGCTAAGCTAAGAAAACTGATAGAAACTACAGTGAAACACCCAGGCTGCTTCTTCAGGGTTTGTTGGTAGGAGATCAGCGATGGAGATGGTGTCAATATTTGGCCACAATTTCCAAAAGGGAGCAACGAGGTGACACAGGTTAAAAGGACTCGTTTTCTGTACAGTTTGGGGGCTGCCCTGCAAAAACTCAACGCTTTTGTTTGTTTTGTTGGGCCTCCAGAAATTGAAACAACCACAGTCACTACAGGTCGAACCTCTCTGGTCCAGGAATCTCTGGTCAGGCAACATCCATGGTCCTGATGTTGCTAGACCGGAGAGCCCCAACCGCAGAGGTTGAGAGCAGCTGGGAGCGGAGCCTGTCATGTGGGTGGCAGCTGGCAGGGCTAGTAGCCTTGGGGCAGAGAGCCCTGGAAGCAGCTGCCACCCGGCGCAGGGCCGGAGTCTGGGAGCAGAGCTCTGTAAGCGGGCCGGGGGGAAGCAAAGTTAGGCAGGAGGGCTGGGGGCAGTTGGGCCTCTTGGTTCTCCCAGGGCAGCAGCCAGGAGGGGATCCTCAGAAGAACCTGGAGGCCTGACCTCCCATGGTCCAGCAAAATCCCTTGCTTGGGACGACTCAGATCCCCAGAGTGCAAGAGTAGGGAGGTCCAACCTGTAACTATTTTTTAAGATATTTGAATTCACAGAATCATAAAATTGTAGGACTGGAAGGGACCTTGAGAGGCATCGAGTCCAGTCCCCTGCCATCGCGGCAGGACCAAGCACCATCTAGATCATCCCTGACAGGTGTCTGTCCAACCTGCTCTTCAATATCTCCAGTGATGGGGATTCCACAACCTCCCCAGGCAATTTATTCCAGGGTTTAACCACCCTGACAGGCAGGAAGTTTTTCCTAATGTCCAACCTAAACCTCCCTTGCTGCAGTTTAAACCCATTGCTTCTTATTGTGTCCTCAGAGGCCAAGGAGAACAATTTTTCTCCTTCTTCTTTGTAACACCCTTTTAGATACTTGAAAGCTGCTCTCATGTCCCCTCTCAGTCTTCTCTTTTCTAAACTAAACAAGCTCAGTTCTTTCAGTCTTCCCTCGTATGTCATGTTTTCTAGGCCTTGAATCATTTTTGTTGCTCTTCTCTGGACCCTCTCCATTCAGGGTAGAGGCAGAAACTAGCCGCAAAGTTTAAATTCAGATCCAATTTCCACAGAAAGCTGGGAAACAGCATTGGGAAATCAATGTCTGAATATAAGGCTTTGTTTTCAGATCCATCTGTTCTATGGGACACAAAATACATTTCCGCTTCTAAGGATACGTCTACACTGTGCAGTTATTTCAGAATAAGCTATTTCGGAATAGTTATTCCGAAATAGCTTATTTTGAAATAGCACATCTACACTGCAGGGAAGCCTCAAAATTAGTCGGAAGCAGGCTTCCTTAATGTGGATGTGCTATCTCGATTCAGAGCACCAGGAGGAATAACTATTTTGACATAGCTATTTTGAAAGAAGGTGGCTTTAGATTCTTCTCTGCTGCTATTTTAGAAGAGGCGTTATTCCTCATAGAATGAGGATTACAGAAGTTGGAATAAGCCGTCGATTATTTTGAAATAACAGAATTGCGGTGTAGATGCTCACATAGTTATTTTGGAATAATTTTGCTATGTAGACACACCCTAAGCGATGAACTCCAAATGTTGTCACCTCTCCTATGGACCCCTGGTAGATGGTATGTTGCATTCTAATGTTGAACCCATGTATCAATGTAGTGTAAACGGATCCTTCGGCCCTCTAGGAGAACACCCTTTTTGACTGGCTTTGCCACCAACATATATTTCCATCTGGTTAAAAGTGGGAGATGGGACTGCGAAAATATGTGCACAAATAAATGCCCCCATTTTTCAATTTTGTAAAACGTGAGCAAATTTTTAAAGTTATAAATGATGCCTTTGCTCTGTGGCAGATTGTAAGACGGGGGAAGGAAGAATATCCAAAAAATGCCTTTGAAACTCTTGCCTGATTTTGGTTTTAGTTTCAAAATTTGATCACGATTTTAAAAATCGTCCCAACCGTGGGTTTCTTGCATAATGCAAAAACAGAAGGCCTGCTCTTTTAGCGTAAGGAAACACTTTTTAAGGCTCCAGATCATCCCTTGTCAGGAAAGCATTTATGCACATGCCTATATGTTTTCCTGAATTGGTAGCAAAGTCATTGTGCAATCTATCATCCCTTGAGAAAATCAGGCGTGATTCCAGGATAGATTATGCAAGGGGACCCTTAACTAGGCATGCTCCTTCCATGTTAGTAAACTCTGAATAACGAGTCCTTGATTGATCTACATCCTTCGTGCCTGGGCCTTTGACGTTTGTCAGCATGGGGTACATAAAAGGAAGAAGCCATTTCTTTCTCTGACCCTGATTGGTAGCCTGCGAGGCTTCCGAGACGTTGACTGCTAGCTGACCGCTAAAGGAATTCACTCCCATCATTCCTGCATGGACGGATGTATTCGCCAGTGCTGGGAGCTGGTTGTGATTGCGGGGGACACTGTAGAGGGCTTCCGCAATATCTGCTGCTCTTTTCAGAATTATTTCCTGGAGAGGGGACAGGAACAAAGGAGGAGGGGTGTCAAGTTCTCTCCCAACAAATGTAGGAAGATGCGTTATGTAAATGGGCTAGATAGGGAATGTCTCAAAGGCTTAGATGGCTGGGGGCGGGGGGTGTTGTTTCTTAATCAGTGGACTGACTCCACCCAGACGGTTAACGACAGTACCTCGTTAACATCTGATGATAAATATTGACTCTCTGGGAAAGGAGTTGGGCGATTTAGTCCAGGTCCACTTCCCTGTGGACAAAATCAATCAGCACGTAAAAACAATGATTATCATAGAGGCCACAGTGCGAACGGAGCTGGAGCCTGAAGGCTCCTTTCTCGGAGAATCCACTCTTTTCTCAAGAATAAGGTCCCGAAGGCCGAGCAACAATCTTACTATGTTGCTGCCCGAATGATACATTTTCAGGCAACCAGAGTTAAAACGCATCATGGCTGAGAAGCCAGCTGCTTTCATGAGCAATAAATTCACATGCTTAATTCCCCCCGCAACACACCCAACATTATGTTCTCTCAAACATTTGTCCTTCTTTCCCCCTGTAATAACACACTTATAGCCTTCCTCCTCTTTACCTGAACAGAGCTTAGTCAAGTTAAGGAGTTGTTCCAGTTGAATACATTTACCTGGTTATTATGTGGCATACCATAGAGCGCTTCCACTAAATCAGCGGCCCTCTTCAGTATCACTTCCTGTCAATACAAAAACAGACGTACTCCTTTGATTTCAATAAACAACGACGAAGGAAAAGTACCTTGTTAGAATCTTTTTATAGTGTTGTATCTGTGACGTTGGGCTTTTTCCCCATGCAGGTTGTCTTCAAAAGCAACAACTCTCAGCAAACATCAAATAGTGTTAAATCACTAGTTCATCCTATTCACACACACACGCTTAATCAAGTCAAAAGGGTGAGAGTCATTGATGCTGCAAAATAAAATACATCACTCAATTGTCTCTGCCATCGGCACGATAAACCACTCATAGGTTTATTGCTGAATACAATCCTGAGGTCATTTCGTAGATTACTGCAATCAATATCATTCGGCGCATGTTATGCATTCCTTAGATGTGTTTATTTCATTCTTAATTGCGTATCACAGGAATTGTGACCTTATCAGACAGGCCACAGCCAAAGGATATCCAATCAGTCCCATGTGACTGATAATGTAATATTCAACATCTATGGTTTGTATGGTTGTGTTATGGGCCAGAGTCACAGTCATCTACTTGCAAGCGTTACACCACAATATTATGGAGAGACCGTGCCGGATTTAGAAGGTTCTCCTGGCAGAATTCCCTATATGGAAATGTAATTTAAAACAATCCGGGAGCTGGCTCTGAATTCTGGGGATAACTGTACCTTTAATTTCCTTGTTTGTCACTTTCTCCATCTGCTCATTTGTTTGTTGTTGTGGTGGTTCTCTGTGATCAATTGTATTAGGGAGAACTCTTCATTCTTCCCCTCTCAAGCTCTGTTATTTTCTTTAGTATTTTATACTGACATCTGGGTAATCCCATGTCTCCTCTGTTTATATTTTTACACATGCAAGAAGTCACTCTAATAATCCCAAAATAAATTTTTTAACTTTTGCATCTGCAAAATTTAGATAAAAGAAAACCTTCCTCCATATGATATCGAAATATCCAGCAACTCTCCATTGGTCCGATAAAAATCTACCTGTACGTACTTTCTTTAAAAATATGCTTCTTTTACCCATAGCTGAGTGTTTATCTCATATAGAAACGTGTAGCTGCATCAAAATACACATTTCTGCAGGAGGTTTACAAATATAGATGCAGCACCAATTCTTAGGGTTTTTTATACTTTTGTGTGAAGTTAAAAAAGTTTAACTTAAAATATTTTACACAATAGCTATATTTTATACCAAAAAGGAGCAGTAATGTAGCATATATTGTACACTCTGATCAGAAAATAGAGATATAATTGCATTCATTTTGCTGTCACCATAACCTCTTCAAAAATCCTTGAACAACTCTTCAAATGACAAGCTTTTAGATGCAGATTAGCATTTTTTCAATTTTAAATTCTCTATAATATAAGATAAAACAGTTGTCATACTGCAGTAACTACTTATGACATATATAATGTCCTAAATTCAAAAATGAGATGGAGGTTTTTTGAACTCCTGGTAAACATTTAGGCTTGCCTGAAGTTGCTATACATCCCCTTTCCAAAGCACACATTTCAATTATTTTTCATGCATGGAGAAAAGTGCATTATATAATTGATGGATTTTATTGAAGCAAGACATCTAAAAGAGTTTTCAGTTAAGCAGCTACTGCTTTTGTCCTGTTTGTGTTGCTTGACCATGGGAGTTAATAATTTAATAGTGCAGGGAGAGAGCGTGCATGCAGTAACCACCCAGAATCAATCCATATTGTTTTAACTGAGCCACTAAAAAATTGCCCATCCTTATCTGCTTTGCATTAAAGGTTCGAACTAAAGCTCTGCTTGTCAAATTTTGTGTCTTCCAGCCCTCACTAAATTTATTTTTAGTCTGAAGAACATTGCACAAGCATTTGACTTTTAAACACGGGTTTATTTGAACATTGTACAAAGCGTTTGTCTTTATAAACATGGTCTTATTTCCTTTAAGAAAAGTTATTTGTTCCATAGTGACTGATTCAAAATCAGGAAGCAAAACAGAGTCTGCAGACTGCTTGGGTAATGTTTTAGCTTCATTTGTCACAATGCTACATTATTAAAAATTAGGGAATCTCCCCCCAACCCATCTTGGTCATCTATGTAATGCTGAGCTAAAAATCCTTTGCACTGAGTCTGAGCAGAGAATAATAAATAAAAAGCACTGCAAAGCTGTACGGTGTAATGTCAAACATGTTCCCGCTATTAAGGAACTGGAAGTTATTTGATGCCATCTCACACCGCGTGTAAATAACATTAATTTTCATTATCACTTATTGAAGTACATTTGACAAATGGCTCTGAATGGTTCCAGCTCATCCCAGATTATTTGTAAAGAGTTTCCGGAACCTGTACATTTGAGCCTCATGCTTTTTTAAACAACATTTTCACACAAGAAAAGCCTTTCCTTGTATGTGACATTTTCAGATTGCACAAGGCGGGTGTTACACAAAAGCTCCTTTGTCAGGTAGTGGTATCAGCTGCTCCAGAGCTGACCATGGCTCCTACAGAGACAAACTCACCTCGAAACCATGCACAGTAAAATGCTGCTCTCTCTATATTTAGCTATTCACTCATTTCTGAATTAGAGGTCATTTAATTTTTTTTACAGACCCACTTAAATTACCAAAGGCGAATGATGGTTTCAAATAGAGAAGAGCCCCCCAAATCCTCCATAACCGAGAATAACAGACCTTGCAAGGTGCTTGGATGGCAGAGACCAGAAAATTGTTCTCACCTCCATGTCATTATGCTCACAGGGAACCAGCCCCTGAGCATGTTTGTGTTCAGGATCTAATATATTGCCTTTCAATCAGAGCTGAGAGGCACTGAACACATAGACAGAACATGACGAGCAGGTCAGGAAAGCAATAAAGATTTTACAGAGCTGTCCAAGGTGCTAAATTTACTCAATAATGGGTTTGGCACCATAGTGTTAACCTCTCATTTACTACCAGTTTGAGGGACTAAATTGAAGTAGCTGACTTCATTTACCTTGAAATGTATATTTTATGACATTATGTAAGTAGATTGAAAGGGCACTGCAGTTTTAACAATTTAAAGGCTAAAGCATGCTTAAGATGAAGCTTCAATATTTATTGTACATTGCACTTAAAGTATATAGAATATTAAAATGTATTGATTAAATTCGTAAAAGGTATTATAAAAAAGGACAGCCACTATAAAAGATCTATGTCTTTCAAAATCAACTGGATACTGTATGTTACCACTGTAGTGGAGACAGATTTTTTTTTTATTGAAAAATGAGTAAGACCGGCACACTACCAAACAAAATCTCGTGATAAGGTCAAGAGTTGATGTCCTATACACTCTTTGGCTCACTGAAATGATTCTTGCTCTCATGTTGGAGCCTAGATTTTCATGCTATACGTGGGCATCATCTAAAAGTCCTTCTATTTGAACACACAAGTGCAAACATTTCTTGAGAGATCGAGTATGTCTAAAGCTAATATCTAAATTATGGAGGCATTTGTAAGGAAAGATTCACTCTTCTCATTATTCAAAAAGTCTCTTCACTTTTGTTGTAGAGTCAATAAGTGCACAGGAATTAGGTGGTACTAGAAAAAGGATGTTCTTGCCTTTTCTTTGAAGTGTATCTAATACTGCTCTTACAAAAATAATAAATGACCAAATTGAGGGAAAAATACATTAGAGCTGAAGCTTATTGTGTTCCAACACAGGAGGTGGCAATGTAATCTACACATTCAGCCCCAGTGCAGTCTGGGTCTATTTTAGGAAAGAGGTAAACAAAGATTAATTGTGGTTTTTTTAATTTGTCTCAGAGGGGCAGCCGTGTTGGTCTATAACTTTAGAAACAACAGGTAGTCCTGTTGCACCTTGGAGACTAACAAAAATATATAGTGTCATGAGCTTTAGTGGGTAAAACTTGTCTGAGGTAGTGGGTTGTGCCCACGAAAGCTCATGATACCATCTTTATATTTTTGTTGGTATCTCAGGTGCCACGGGACTCCTCGTTGTTGTTATTTTTAAATTTGTGAAATGAAAATGCAGCTCAGGGTGGGTATTGTTCTGGTTTTAAAAGAACCAATGACATTCTCATCCTTCTTTTTGAAAAAAATGGTGGGTGTTTGCTGCTGTTTACCTATGGAGAGTCAGGCCTGGAAGAGCTGTAACGACACGGTCCAACTTCACCGAAGGATTTTATTATCACAGCAGAAGGGCTGCGCTTTTGGAACACGGGCTGTTGCATTCAAAGTAAATCCTCTTCTGGCTGAACGTCCCTAAAGTGAACACTACGGCAACTGTCCAGCTTTATTTGTTCAGCTTTGTGATGTGAGTAACACTCCAATAGGGCACGACACTTACTTTCAACTGAATTATAATCGCATATTGAAAAGTCCAGAGCTTTGTCTGCTCTGCCACTTGTCTCCAGAATGAATCATATTTACCATATATGGTTCACGGGGGTCAAATTTCATCTTAATGACCATTCTGTGCCCCTCTGACAGAAGATGTGTGAGCATTGTTGATGATCTCTGCTTATAATGTTGCAATTAGTAAAAAGAATCACACATCTATCCGAGTGTGGATTGTGGGTTTAATTGATGTCAGGGCGTTCTTGGGTCATTTTAGGATATAAAAAAAATACTAAATTTAGATAAATCAGTTACAGAATGTTTGAGGGATTTGTTAAAGCCACATGCATTTTGCCAGGCAGGAGCTGTCCGCTCTATATGATGTTCGTCAGCCACATCTCATATTATTTCATCTACCAAAGGATTTATGTACTTGAAAAAAAAAGCTGTTCTAGCAAACCACGAGGCATTTATCTTATGTGTTGTCTAGATATCATATCGCCTTCTAATGCTCTATTAGCATTGTAATATAAGAGAGCTCATTCATCTTCCCAGAGGTTACTTATGGATCATGATGTCATTCATACTTCCTCGCCTCATCTCTGACTTATTGTCTCTGTCTCCTGACTTCCTGATTTCCCCGGCACTGACAGCACACTCACATGCAGTGCTCCAATGCTGCGGGTCAGCT